GCCGTCGCCAAGGGCGCAGCGCCCGCCCCTTAGCGACGGCGCGGCAGCGCCCAATGAGAGGCGGCGCGGCGCCGTGACTGGCAGGCGCGGCCCGCCCCCTCCCCCCCGGCGCGCTCTCCTCACGGCGGCGGCGGCGGCTCCATTTTCTCGCGCTCCCGCGGCCCCGCAGCGCCCCGGCTCCTCCTCGGCCCCGGCCGCCGGAGACACCCCCAGGCACCCCCGTCCCCGCCGCCATGAATGAGGAGTACGACGTGATCGTGCTGGGCACCGGCCTCACGGTGAGGAGCGGCCGCCGCCCGGGCCTCGGGCCTGGTGCCGCCGCTGCGGCAGCGGCCGCCGCCCTGACGGACCCCGCCGCACCCCCATCCCCCCCCCTCGCGGGGCTCGGACGCCTGGGCCCTTTCTCCTGCCTTTCCCCCCACCCTTTATCGTCATCCCCCCCTCCTGTCTTTTCCTCGCACCTGATGGAGGGGCCCCCTCCCCCTCCCCTCAGGGACCCTGGGCTCGGTTTGTGACCGACCCCCCTTCCCTTCCCGCCGCCCCCCAGTCATTGATGCTCGGGCTCGGACGCCTGGGCCCTCCAGCCCCCGCCCCATTTTCTCTACGACCCCAGGGTCCTTTATTTATTCATTTATTATTATTTTTTTTTGTTCTTCCGTTATCACATTATTTTTGCAGCCCTCCCCACCCCATCACTGACCTCTGGGCTCGGACGCCTGGGTCCTTTCCCTCATTTATCATTGAAATATCAGCGTAGCCCCCGCGTCCCCTCAGAGATTTATTTATCACCTCATTATTTTAGCGCCCCCCCGGTCATTTACCCCCACCCCCCGCTCAGATCCCAGGCTTTTTTTTTTTTTCATCCATCACCTCTTTATCATGGCAGCCCCCATTGACAGCAGCCTCGGACCCCTGGGTCCTTTTTCCCATTCATCACCTGATCATCCCCTCCTTTCCCCCCACTTAAAAAATAAAAAATGTCATTGACCCTGGGGACACCTGGGCTGCTTGCTGCTCTCTCCCCCCGCCCCGGACACCTGGGTCCTTTCCTCCCTCCTTCCCCTTATTGTAGCACTTCCCCCCACCCTTTTCCCCTTTCGGGTTTTGTCATCTTCCCCCGCCCCAAATCGTGGGCTCGGATGAATGGGGTATATTGGGATGCCCCCCGCCGTGTTCCCGGACTCCTGGGCCCCCTTCCGTTGCGGCTCCCAGGAAATGCGGTGTTTTGGTGATTGCAGGGGGGCAGGACAATAAAGCGCTAACGGGGATTTGCCCCCGCCTCCTTCTCCCCTCTCCTTGCTCCTGTCCTCCCCAGATCCCACCCGTCTCTCCCCTTGTGCCCTATGGGGCTCCTGGCATGGGGGGGGTCCCGGCGTGGGGGGGCAGCCCCCATTCCCCCCCCTTCCTTTGCAGCCTCCTGTCCAGCCCTGACTGCAGCAGGAGGGGGATGGGAGGCGAGCGCTGCCTGCCACATTGGCCCCAAATCCCCGCAACCCTCCCCGAATCCTCCATCCCCTCCAGCACTGGAGCCGGGGGGGCGCTGGGGAAGGAGCCTTTGGAGCGGGGAGGGGACAGGGACACGCGTGGTGGCGCCGGCGCTTTGTCCTCTCGCGCAGGATGCAGCCGGTGCCGAGGGAAAATGGCAGCGGCGCCGGAGGCAGCAGCGGCCGCTCGCAGCCCTAACGCGGCGTCGGGAGACGCTTTGTCCGCAGGCTTTGAGCAGGGGGAAACCGTTCCCGTATTCCGGCCTTTCCCGATGCTCCTTCCCCGTGGCGATGGAGGCAGGTGGCCACACAAAGCGATACCTCTGGGGCTGCCAAGGAGCGATTATTTTTTCCCTCCTGCTGTTTCCCTTCTTCTCCGTGATGGCGGAAAAAGCAGGATGGGGTGTGGAATAAAACGTGTCGGCTCCGGGAATGTCGGCATGGCTGCTGCTCGAGGGTAAAATCCAACTTTCCTGGTCGCTCCCATTGCTTTTGCTCAAGGCTGCTCCTTCCAACACCAAAGCATCTCTCCCCTTTGATAGGGGAGGCTGCAGCCTGTCTTAAAACCTGTATCTGGCTTAACAAAGCGGGGAAACGAGACTTTTCGGGAGATTAAATATAATGAGCTTCCACGTAATGACTTTGCTAGATGAGAGTCGCATTGAAATGTTAATTTATGCCTGGGTAAGCGCCACGCTTGTCTCAAACTGACAGTGTAAATTTGACAAAAGGTCCCTGCTGAAACTACTTTTAAGACAAACTGATGCTAATGGTGGACATTGGAGTTGAAAGGGGGACGTTTTGGGTGTATTTGGGGTGTTCTGACCAAGCTCTGGAGCCTGAGAAGGGGCAGGAGCACCCACAGCACCAGGCATGGCGTTCATCCTGACTTCAGCATCGGGCAGAAAAGCAGGATGGTGAAACCAACATTCCTGGTCCCGTTGGAGCGCTGGGAATTGCTCAGTGGTCCGACTGTTTTGGCTGACGATGTCAAAGCTGAAGCCAGTGTAGGCTTGAACCTGGGTTATGGGGTGGCTTTTGTCATCTGAGGAACCTGGGAGCAGACGACCTGTGCTCCTGTGATTTGACTCTGGTACCGTTACCTGGGGAGTCAAATTCCCCAAGGAAAGGAGCTGTGAAACGCTGATAAATGTGCCGAGTAGCTGCTGTCCCCTTCCCAAGAGCCTCAAACCTTCTGGAAGCCCCCAGTGATCTTCTCTACCACCCTTTTCTGTGGGGGTCCCATCAGGCAACTTGTGATCAAATGAATTTTGTCGTATTGGCTAAAAAGGCCAGGGATGAGTTGCCCAGTTTGCTCTTCAAAAACCTCTTTTGATGGACTGAAATTATTGATGTGACATTTTGTTCAGATTGTCACAACAAGTTTGGTATCCCCATCTGCATCAATTTACCATCTTTGATCAACCTGGAAACATTTCAAGCCTGGAATATTGAGATATTTCAAATGTTTTGATCAACCTGGAAATAAAGAATATTTCAAGGGCCCCTCTTTTCTTCAGGCTCTAAAGAAGAGTCAACAGAGCCTTCTGACTAGGCCTAATCTCTGGAAGTATTTTCTCTTCTCCCTTCTGTGTGCCAATATGAGGCCCAGTTGCAGTGCTGAGCTTGTATGGATATATCTTAGGACAAGGGGGAAGAAAATCCCAGCACTTCCTTAATCCTGAATTACTGCAGCTAACAACCTTGGGAATTTGGGAGCAGTGAGCCCAGCTGCCGAACCATGAGTCCTGCAGCAGGAGGTGGTGGTGGGAACAGCTCTCCTGCATTGCTCAAGCCTCCCTAGCTGTAAAATCCTTGGCTTGCGCTCGCTCCTTGCTTCTTGCATTGTAGATCAGCCAGCCTCTTCCTCCAGCCCTACTGCACAGACTTGTTTTTAATCCAGCGTGTTGAGTGATGCGCTGGGGAGCATCCGTATTTTTTATTTTCAGACCTGTCTCTTCTTTTCACCTTTATTTACACGTCTGCAAACGCCCTGGGGCGTCTCGCTGCCGCGAGCGGGAGGCAGCCGGGTGCTCAGACAGGCCCCTCGCTGGAGCCCTGAGCAGCCTGGGCTGGTGGACGTGGACATTTAGTGTGACCCAAGGGTCCTTGTTCACCCGAGGACGTGAACGCCCCGTTCCCGCTGGGATTGTGCCCTTTGCAGGCCCTATTTCACTGAATGGGACTTCTCACCTGCCTCAACACGCTGGAATTGTGTGAATCTGCACTCTTGGCGCCATCCTCCTTCCCTAGGGAAGTCTGACCAAGCCCAACGCATCCAACTGCCCAGGCCCTGCTGCTTATGGAGCCTAAGTAAAGACCATCAACACGGCAGCGACCACCAAGGTGGCAGATCTGCCCCTTGCATCATCCTCCAGCAATCGAGGGATTGCCCAAGGGGAGTGAGTAACCGCAGGGCCCTGCTCGCCGCGCTCCGATGCGGATGCCGCACTCCCGTGGCGGGAGGACCGGGAAGACACTAATCACCTGCACCTCGCTGGCCCTGCCGGTCCTCCTCATCGCTGTTCAGAAGAGCCTGATGTGCCAAAACCCGCTCTGAAGATGTTGATTTTTTTGCTTAACGCTTCGTATGGAATTCTCTCCCTCAGAGCTATTAGATATTTTTGTTTGAGACTCCCCAAACTGCTGCTGTGGTTGGAGAAAATCCATCTGAGCTTCCTTCTTCTCTCAGTTCCTGAGGCCTTCAGCGACCAAATGGTCTATTCCTGATCGGTTGGCGCATGCAAGGGAAGCACCGCTGGTCTTAAGCAAGCATGGAAGTTTGAACACCAATACCTCTCAGTTATGCCTTGCTCATATGTATAATTATATATAAGCATTTCTTTTTAAATGGATTTGTAGTGAATGTTGTGGATGTGAGTTTCTGATGCACATTGTTCTATGCTCAGGGAGCCCCAGGAGCTTCCTAACCCTAACTGGCCAACATGAGGGGTTCCAGTTCACCAGGGCTGACATTTACACCCAGGTTTTGTTGAAACCAGCCTGTACCCTAGAGCTGTCTCTTGGTGCCCATTCTTTGCTATTTTGTAGCCAGCAGGAGCAGAGTTTTACCAGCTTTTGTGGGATTTACAACATACAATAGCCGGGAAAAATCAGATTTGGCCTCCGAAGCTTCTGTTTTCTTGCAGCTGAAATTGCCTCCAGCTGTAGCTCTTGGGTCACGGAGCCTGGAAAATGAATGGCCTAAGTGACATTCCGGCTTTTGGGAAGGCTCTTGGATGCGGTGCCGTGTCCAAGCAGTCGCCAGCAGAGCCCTAGGAGGGACTTGCTCCCTGGGAAGACGGACGCGTTGTGTGTTTTACAGCCGCGCCGAGCCGCCGAGGGAAGCAACTCCGAAAGGTCCACGTGGGATTGCTGCTGGATGTGGGAACCTGGGTCATGCAACTAGCCTGTTAAATAGGCCCTGGATAAAGTAGCATCGGAATAACTCCACCTGGGGGCTCACATCAGCCTTAACGGGTATGAAATGAAATAGAAAAGGGTCTTGGGGCCTCCTAGAGCTTTTGCTGGTACCCAGATTGACCTGACTGCAGTCTGGGCAGGTGGGAAATGCATCAAGTGGCGACTCAACTACTTGGGGAAGAGGGGGCAAGAAATGCCTTGAAGCCTCCTTAAATGGAGGAAGGAAATCAGCCGACAGCTGGTGTAATGATGCAGCTCCTGAAGCTTTTACTGCAGCTCCGTGTGTCTGGCTGATAACTTCTTTTGTTTTGAAAGCCTGGGTGGCTTCCTCAGGGCTTGACGCCAGCGTGGAAGCTGGCACTTCACAACCACCATCTGGCTGCACTTTGGAGGATGTTCCGGGTGGGAAAAGGAGGCCACAGCGAAGATAACCAGTCCAACCAGGGCCCGGGGAACTTACTTTAACTTAGGTTGTTCTGGCTAGTGCTGATATGTTAATTCCCCAGGTAATCATTAACGTTTTGAATGGGTGTCGTGCTGCAGTCACTTGGGTGCTTCCTGATACTGTGGCCTCCTCGCAGAGGGTTTGCTGGGTTGTGCTGGCTGCAACGTTCCCTGTTTGCTTCCCACCGGGAAAAAGCGGAAGAGCCTCGAGGAGGGATTTGGAGGATCACGTGGATTTGAAGGAGCAGCTGATGCTCCGTGGAGGGTTTGACGTCAAAGGCTGCAGCAGACGCTCGTCACAAAGGGAGACGCTGCACAGAAAGACATTAACATTTACTAGGAGCACATCCCTCTTCCGTAACTACCTCAGGGAAGATGTGTCCCTTGCAGCCTGCAAGAGCAGCAGGTCTTTGGTGCCATCCTGTGTGAGCACACGGGGAAATGGCAGCTGTTCTATAAAACCAGGCATCTTCCATAGTCCTGCAGATGTTGATGCTTCAAAGCCATCTCTCTGAGAGCTGCTGCAGGGTGGGCTGCTCTTTGGCAGGGGAATTGAAGATGACTACGGAGTTTCTCGCTTTCTGTGATGTGTGGCCCTGGAGTAGGATACACAAGCCATGCACACAATATATCAGGGGAGACATTTTGCTTTCTAACTGTGGCTTGGCTGCGTGCACTGGGTTGTTTGAAACGAGGCTTCTCTGCACTACGGTAGGAAGTGACACACGAGAGCCTCGTGGAATGAGACAGGTGTGCAGTGAACCCAAGAGGGTCTCATGGAGACATGGCCCTTGCTGAGAGGCCAAGCTGCTGGTTTCCGTGAACAAACTGCTCCTGAACGTGCTGATTTTTCCCCTGTGGCATCTCCTGGCAGCCAAATGGCTTAAGGTACTGGGTTTTGATGGACAGATGATGTGAGATGTGGAAGAGGCCTGTGAGTTAGATAAACGCATGCAGAGGTTGACGCCGAGTGAGGACTGAATCTTAGGTGTGATCTCTCTGGAAAGAGCTGGGGCAGAGCACGCTGTAACAGTCATGCGTGTACTCCTGTGACCAAGCAGTTCTGAGCAGGCGAGTTTCCAAGTTTTTGTTAGGCTATTTGGTTCAAAACCACCAGAGCTGGTGTCTGGGTTAGTGAGAAAGTTGTGTTTTAATGGGAATTTAGCCACATGAGTCCCTCGTTAACTTGGAGAACTTGGGCTCCTCCGGGATTATTTCAGTGTTTTAGTGTGGAATTCCTGCTGGAACGGAGACTCAACACCAGATAACTTCTCTTCTGCATCTTCTAATTTCCTGCCTTTCCCTAGGAATGCATCCTCTCCGGTATCATGTCAGTGAATGGAAAGAAAGTCCTTCACATGGACCGTAACTCTTACTACGGAGGGGAGAGCGCGTCCATCACACCCCTGGAGGATGTAAGTACCGAGGTGACACGTGCCTGACATGCCCCCATCGGGGGAATAAGGGACCTTGACTTCTTGCTGGATTCACAGTAATGATTTTAAGGGTTTTTCTTTTACTAAAAGATTGGATAAACAAAACAAAGCTGTTTGACCCTTTCTGTAAGGATGTGCTGTGTGTATTGCTCCAGAAGTCAAATTGAAGTGTAAAGGCTGACAGGAGGCTTGAGGCAAAGAGCTTATGACCAGCTAGGGACTTAGGAGGCTGAGAAGTGATACCCGCAGCCATTTCCTCTGCTACAATTAGTCTCATTCTCTCCAAAGCTCTACAAAAGGTTTAATCTACCAGGAACTCCACCAGAATCCATGGGACGGGGAAGAGACTGGAACGTGGACCTAATCCCCAAATTCCTTATGGCTAATGGTAAGTGATACCAAACTTCCAAACCTGCCCTGTAAACTTAGCCTGGGACCTTCAGCCTGGGTTAACATTAAGTGCTGTAATCAAATAAAGAGCCCTTCAGCTATCTCTTCGTGAGCTTGTTGAGGGACTAATTAAAGAGCTGCTGAGAACTCGTTTGAGATGATCAGCGTGCAGGGCAGGTGCTTGTCCCACACTCTCCTCCCGAGGGTGGTTTTGGCTGCAATCTCCCAAGCTTGGTCCCGGGCTGCAGCTTGATGTGTGCAGCGGTGTCCTGTTTGAAGGCACAAGCAGCTGCTTTTCAATGTATTATCTTAGAGTGAGCACTCAAATTTCTGGCTGGGATTAATGCTGTGGATCTGTTGGCTTCTTCCATGTTTTGGGAGAAAACCCTTGGCGGGGACAGTGTCCCTCTGGGTGGGGACAGTAGGAGGGCAAATACTGACTCCATCTGCTTGCCAGCCAGGGGCTAATTGGTGGTGAAGTGGCTGGACACCTAATATGCAGATTGTGCTATGTGTGAGTAACGAGGATAGGGGCCTGCTGTGCTCCATAGACGTGACCTTATTTGTCACGTTGAGGGTGAATGATCCGCGCTGAGCAGCAGCCTCCTGCAGCGGGTTGACGTCCTGCCAGGTTGTTTTTCCTCCAGGCTCTCCTGGAAAGGGGAGTAGGGATAAGGAAACTGTCCCCTGCCTGTCAGCAAGCCTTAACACTGTCCCCAAATACACCCCACCTGCTCCCTGCGGGGTAGGAATGGTGGCAGTCGGACGTGCTGCTGCATTTGGAGGATTTGCAGAACCTCCCATCCCCTTCTCGACTCGTGGCTGCGGAGCAGCTGTGTGACTTGTGTCACCTCCCTTCACAGGTCAGTTGGTAAAGATGCTGCTCTACACAGAAGTCACTCGCTACTTGGACTTCAAGGTGATCGAGGGAAGCTTTGTCTACAAGGGAGGGAAGATCTACAAAGTTCCTTCCACTGAGGCAGAGGCCTTGGCATCCAGTGAGTAGTTGGACTAATCTCTGTTTCCTTCCATCCCCAAACAAAGGCAGGACAGGTCTCCAGCACCTCAATTTTACTCTGCTGCTGTGGTGCTGTCTGTGCAGGCTCCGTTTCTGTAACGAGCTGTGCACAGCCTAGGATTCCTCTGCATCTCTTCTGCCTTCAAATACCACTTTGCAGAGCAAGTCTTGGACTCCACAAACCTGGGATTTTGGTTTTCCTGTAATTTAAAAATGGACCTAATGAAGCTGCCCGATCCATGGCCCATGTGCTGAGAAATAGGCAGTAGTTGACTTCCCTGAAAGGTTATGCTCGGGGATTAGGCTTCTAGATTTGCCATGAATATTTAATGCTGGCTTCTTGTCTGGCAGAATTATATGTGAAAAACATCCTAGCGGTTGTCGGGAGGCGAATTGCAAGGACTAACTCCAGTAATACGGTGCCTCCCGCAGTCTTAATTGTTGCAGTCCACTTAAATTTCAGTTTTCAGATAATCTTGATCATTCATAAGAGTGTGGGGGCATCCAAGGCCACTTACTTTAACATTAAGAGTGGTGGGTGGCAGAATGTAGGTGCCTCTACTTGGCCCAGCCTGGGGTTTACGTAGCCCTGAGCCGAGCAGAAGCTTTTCCCTAAGCTTCCACACATCCAGCACCTGGAAACAGGGGAAGAATCATTTCTCCCCTGCTTCTCATACTCTGTGGAGATGAACGAAGTTGCTTCTGGGACCTGTGTGAGTTCTGACAAGAACTTGGGGTATTTTTTCAGGCTTAATGGGCTTGTTTGAGAAACGTCGGTTCCGGAAATTCCTCGTGTACGTTGCCAACTTCGACGAGAACGACCCGCGCACTTTCGAAGGCGTCGATCCCAAGAAGACCACCATGCGCGACGTGTACAAGAAGTTCGACCTGGGCCAGGATGTCATCGACTTCACGGGCCACGCGCTCGCGCTCTACAGGACCGACGAGTGAGTGCGAGGCCGGGGCTTGTCAGGGCAGCGTCAGGCAGCGCTGAAGTCTGCGACGTGGCTCTTAAAATAGCGTCTTCTCCTACGTGGGTTAATAAATTACCTAGTTATAGTATTTCCAAAGCGGGTTTTCCAGGGAAAAGCTGGCAAGGTGGGGAAGGAAAGTTTGTGGGAAGTAGGTATTTTTGCTTCTCTCAATGTGTTATGCTCTAAGTCTCTGAAATGCTGCACATCTTGCAACTCCCCTGCAGCTACCTAGATCAGCCGTGCCAGGAGACGATCAACAGGATCAAGCTGTACAGCGAGTCCCTGGCTAGGTACGGGAAGAGCCCCTACCTGTATCCGCTCTACGGCCTCGGGGAGCTGCCCCAGGGATTCGCAAGGTGAGGATTTCATTTTCCCTCATGTAGGATTACGTGGGGCCTGCAGGGCCCCTCTGTTGCTGGAGCTGTGGGGGTTGCCTCTTTCTGAAAGGAGAAGCTTGGCCGTGGTCTGTGACCTTGCACGTGGGACCATCTGCTCCTCGCTCGAACTGAATTAAGTGCTACAAGAAGTTCCTCTCTGTTCCTAGTTGGAACAAAGCCATGGGTGTCATGTCCTGAAGCCTGTTCATGAGCAGAGCTTAAACCTGGGCACTTGCTGAGCCTGCTCTGGCATCTGGTGGAGAGGCAGATGTCAGAGTCACGGACAGGCTTCTAGAAGCCCAAGAATGGGGCTTAAGCCCAAGAGCTGGACCTATTCAGCCTGAAGAAGGTTCAGGTGGTGGCCACTGATAGAACTAGAGGAAATGGCCACCAACTGAAGCACCAAAAGTTCCACAGGAACTTAAGGAAACGCTTCTTGACAGTGAGGGTGCCAGAGCACAGGCTGCCCAGAGAGGTTGTGGAGTCTCCTTCTCTGGAGGTCTTCAAAACCCACCTGGATGCAGCCTGTGCCATGTGCTCTAGGTGACCCTGTGTGTGCAGGGGGTTGGACTAGATGGTCTCTAAAGGTCCCTTCCCACCTTAACCATTCTGTGATTCTGCCACACGAACGTGGTGGTAGCAATACCCACAGGAACTGAGGCTAACGCAGCGCTCCCCTTGCAGGCTAAGTGCCATCTACGGAGGCACCTACATGCTCAACAAGCCCATCGAGGAGATCGTCATAGAGAACGGCAAAGTGGTGGGCGTGAAATCCGAAGGAGAGGTAGGGTGCCCTAGGGTTCCTTCACATGCTCCGTGCCCAGCGATTGCCCATCTTGTCCCTCAGCAGAGGTGACAATCTGTACCCTGGAGTGATGTGCCCAAGCACGAGGCACCTGGAGCCTTCGCATGGGTCAAATTTAACCTGTCGCTGTTAGACATTCTCTGATGGTAAACTCGGTTTTTAACCATTTGGTTCCATCTTGACTGCAGCAAGTCACAGTCCTAGACTGAAAGCACTGGGCTCTGGTGTAGCTAAAGCTTAATTATGTCCCGAGTAACGGAGGCAGGTGCGGACGGGCTCCAACAAGCAGCTCCTGGTAGGAGCGATGTGCTGAGACTTGACTTGTCCAAGCGGGACTTATCCAGTGAAACAAAACCCTGGTGCCGTGGGGCTCCTCGGGCCGATCCTGGTGCCTTTCCCCTCAAGTCCCCAGGGTCCTGCTGGGCCGAGCTCTCCCCACGTGAACATCCAAGGCCTGGGCAGCGCTTCACGCTGGGCTCTGTTGGCAGGTGGCTCGCTGCAAACAGCTCATCTGCGACCCCAGCTACGTCTCGGACCGCGTGACGAAGGTTGGCCAAGTGATTCGCGTCATCTGCATCTTAAGCCACCCCATCAAGAACACGAACGATGCCAACTCGTGCCAGATCATCATTCCACAGAACCAGGTCAACCGGAAATCGGGTGCGTGAGGAGCAGCGGCGGCCGGGGGACGTGCAGGTCTCTCGGCCTAAGGCAGCGCGCGCGGCGTGGCCGGGCTCTGGAGTGAAAGGAGTGTCGGAGAGGACAGGGCTTTCTCAGCCCTCCTTCGGGAGGGAGTCCTGGCCGCGAAGCCCCTCGGCTTCCCTCTGGGCCCTGCGATGCTGGAATGAAGCTTTTTGACCCCAAATGCCTTTGCTCACCCCTTTCCCAAGCCTTGAGCCTGGTGTCACTGCTGCTTGATGCAGCCCCTAGCACCCTTGGGTGCTGCAGGCCCCCCTGAGGAGGCAGCGCCCAACTGGCTGCACAGGGGAACTGTCTCCTGGCGCAGGGAGCTGCATGGATCCACCCCTGCAAAAGGGTCCCCCTTGTCCTTGAGCAAGGCGAGCTCTCAGGATGGCTTCCAGGAGCCATTGGAGCTACGGATACAGCGCAGGATAAGGGATACAGTGACGGATAAGGGATATGGCGCAGGATAAGGAGGAGGGGATGGGTTGGGAGAGGCGGAGCGCGGCGCGCGCTGACGGGCCCCTTGCCCCTGCAGATATCTACGTGTGCATGATCTCCTCGGCGCACAACGTGGCCGCGCAGGGCAAGTACATCGCCATCGCCAGCACCACCGTGGAGACCGCGGACCCCGAGAAGGAGATCAAGCCTGCCCTGGACCTCCTGGAGCCCATCGAGCAGAAGTGAGTCCTGGCGCGGGCAACGCCGAGCTCCGGGAATGTGTCCCGAGAGGTGCTGATAAAACAAAATTCCCCTGCCCCTAGACCAGTGTTATCCAGCCCACTCTTCTTGCCCTGTGTTCTGGTACCAGGCTGAGCGTTTCCCTCTTTTCCACTCCTTTTTACATGGATGTTGGTGCTCGGGAAGCCTTTAAACCCCTCTGAAGCCGCTTGTTCTTCTCGCAGGTTCGTTAGCATCAGCGACCTGTTTGCGCCGACCGACTTGGGAACGGAGAGCCAGGTGGGTGAGCGCGGGGCGCGCGGTGGAGCGCGCCCACGGAGCGCGCGGCGCCGCTCACCCGCCCCTTCCCTTTGCAGATCTTCATCTCCCGCACCTACGACGCCACCACCCACTTCGAGACGACGTGCGATGACATCAAGGATATTTATAAGAGGATGATGGGCTCCGAGTTTGACTTTGAGGAGATGAAGCGCAAGAAGAACGATATCTACGGGGAGGAGGAGCAGCAGTAATGAGAATCTCTAATTAGGAGAAATTAAATCGGCTAATATGAATATATAAGGAACTTAATGAACACTGTATGAAATTCAATATTGTAAGGCCTGCTTTTGTAATCCCATCTCTGAGAGATTGAAGAGTACTGCACTGGTAATGTTCCCCTTTTGGATATCATGTGTTAATTATTTCATTCTAGTAGGGCTGCTGTCCAGAATCTGGCAAATTACTGACTGATTTAATGACTAACCTTGTTAAGTGGGGGGGGGGAAGCCGACTGAACTTCTCTTGCGGACTTAGCCATTGGTGCAGATTGGAATAACTCATTGACAGCTGTGTCTTACCTTGTATTTTTAATCATTTGTAAACATAACTTCACAATTATGTGCTTCTGGTGAGCTAGTAACCGTGACGGTTGTCACTCGAACCTGTTATCAAGGAAAATAGAAACTGAGCACTCCATTATTGTGGACAGCATCCCTCGGGTCTCTCCCATCAACCTTAACCGTGTGGCAAGTTGTATTATGGACAAAGCCCACATCTATTGTAGCAGCAGCTGTTGGCGTAGTTCTGGGCACAGGACTTAACCTCCACTTTCAGCTTCTCAAACTTGTTTACAGCGGTTGGGACACAGCTGTGCCTAAGGCTCCTTTGTGTTTTAATCTAATAAAATTGAGAGAACAAAATTACAGAGCAGGCAAGACGTGAAAGTATTTTCTGTACCCTAGTGGCTTCTCGGACGGACCAAACTGCGCTGCGGTATCGGTATGACAGAGCCTGTGCTTCTTGTGTCTCCTGAAGGCTCCAAATGATTTCTGTACTGCGAAGTAAAGCCAAATTCTGGAAACCAGTCGCGGGCTCTGGTCTGATTCACTCGGGCGCTGCGAGCAGCGTCTCCCTGCCGCGCTCCCCGGAGCGCCCGGCTGCCAGCGCAGCGCTCACGGTAGGAAACACAGGCTCCGACTGTGTCACCGCGTGGGAGGAAACACGGGCTCTGCCGCCCTGCCCTGGCTCCCGCTCTGGGATGAGGCCCTGAGCTGAGGTCCCTGCGGGAGGAGCAGAGCAAGACTCGTGGCTCTCCCTGCGCCTTCCTCCTCCAGCAGCACCTCTTGTTTCGCCCTCTTCACGTGAGCACTTGCTCTCTCCTCAGGGAGATGCCCGTCACCTCGAGGGCTCCATGTGATCCTCTTCTAGTTACCATCTTGTCCTGGCAGCAGCGGCACCGCAGGGTGCGTGGGCCACCCACTGGGTGCTCCCTGACCAGGCAGCGCTTCCCACTGGAGCTTCTCCTGTTCCAGGCACCTGGAGGCTGCGGCACGGAGCAGGACGGCTGCTCCTGCTGCCTCTTCCCAGGCTGCTGCTGCTGCTCAGGAGACGTCGCTCAGGGTCACATCCCCCTCGCAGCCTGCGGACTGCCCCATCCAAGGTTTGTTTCCTTCCTCCCTCCTGGCCTTAGGGGCTTTCAGCGCTTCCTCTTGCAGCCACCGGCCGCGGCTGCTCCCAGGCCGCCTTCCCTTGGGCTGCTTCACGCCCCTTCCACAAGCGCCACCTTTACTGCTCTTTTAAAATATACACATACAAATTTCTGATTTATGCATTACCAGGGAAAATTATCATCGTTCTCCCGCTGGAGGCTGAGCAGGAGCCTCCCATGGACGGAGCAGCAGGGCACGAACCTTCCTAGGCTGGTTTTATTAGTCAACCTCTACGAAGTCAGCCTGTGCATACCTCCTTATATCACTTTATTAAAAAAAAAAAAAATAATAATTACAAAACGTGTCCTGCCAGTAGCTGCCGAGGGTTTCTCAGGGTTCCTTAGCACCGAACTCCCCTCTCGGGCCGTGCTTGGGGGAGGAGACCATAAATAAAAGCGGGTGCTCTGGGAGGAGGAGGGTGGCCGGCCTATTTACAGACCTGTGCACAGGGGGGAGGCTCCGAGGCCCCTCCTGCTTTTCCGGGAGGAAGCCTCGGAAGCTCCACGTTGGAGCGGGCAGCCTGGGGCCGTTGCCATCTCCCTCCTTCCCTTCACCGCCGGAGAACAGAAGCTAAAAGCTGCTCCAATAACTTCAAAACCGTGTAGTGTTCAACTCGTCCTCCACGCGCCCGGGATTCGCCTTCGCCGTCTTTAAGCAATTCCTGTCTAGGGAATCTTTTCCCCTCCCAGCCCCGGTTTCTGCGCGGGGCTCCGGCAGCTCCTGCCCGTCGCGGACCCAGCGCTTCTTCCCTCTTTGCTCCCCTGGGCCAGGGTGGGCACTAGAGTTGGCGGATTAAGTGGGAGCAGATCCTGCCCTCTGCCGCGCTGCTGGATCGCAGCTTCCTTCCACTCTCGTTCCAGACCTCGGGAATCCGCCGCCCAGCTGCCGTTGGCTCCATGGGGACGAGACGGGGGTCGATCCCCAGCTCCCCCCTTACCAGTAGCTTCTTTGGAAGGGGGCAGCCGCCTTCTGCACGGTGCCGAGGAAGGTGTTGACGTCGGCCACCAGGATGCCTTGGCTTTCAAAGGCCTCCTTGCTGACACCGGGTTTTTCTGCAGCGGAACGAGCGGCGTTACCAGACACGGGGGTGGGCTGGAACCCACCGAGACCATCCCATCTGTGGATCCCGTCCATGGGTCCTGGTAATGCCCCTCATGGGCTCTAGGTGCCCCTGGGCAGCAGTGGGGTTGGCCTAGATGATCTCTAAAGCACCCTTCCAACCTCAACCATTCTGGGATTCTGGGGTTCATTTCGGCCTGGAGAAGAAAAGGCTGAGGGGGGATCTGATCTGTCTGTGGACACCTCTAAAGAGGGAGTGAGGAGGATGGGGTGGCACTTTTCAGTGGTGGCCAGTGAAAGGACTAGAGGAAAGAGCCACAAACTGAAGCACCTAAAGTTCCACAGGACCTTCAGGGAAAATTTCTTGGCAGTGATGGTCCCTGGCACAGGCTGCCCAGAGAGGTTGTGGAGTCTCCTTCTCTGGAGATGATCAAAACTGGCTTGGATGCAGCCTGTGCCACCTGCTCTAGGCGTCCCTGTGTGTGCAGGGGGTTGGACTAGATGATCTCTGGAGGTCCCTTCCAACCTTAACTGTTCTGTGATTCTGTGATTCTGTGCCATCCCCCTGCATTGTGTGGCAGTGTCCCCTGCCGCCAAGGCGTCGCTGCATCCTCCTCCTCCTCGCAACGCGGCCGCGCTCCCCAGCGAGCGCGTCGCCCTTGCCCTGCGCCCTCCGGACCGCCCCAGGGCCGCGACTTCCCGCCCCGGCGCCCCTCCTTACCCGTGAGGTACACGGCGAACCTGGCGCTGATGTGCTGCACCTGCAGGCTGAGCAAGCACCGCAGGGCCTCGGCGCGGCGCGAGGCGGCGGCGTCGCACGCGTGGTAGTGCAGCACCTCGACCAGGTCGGCCCCTTGGCACGACCTGAGGAGCAGGTTCTTCTTGCGGGCGGTGGCGTCCAGCCTGGCGGGAGCGGGACGAGCTGCAGCGGCGCCTGCCCGGGCTCGCGCCCCGGGGACGCCTTGTCCGCCCCGCAGCCCTGCGCAAGGGACCCCCGGGTCCCCAGCGGCGACGTCCTCGCGAGCGCGGCGCTGGTACCTGAGGGCTTCTCTGAGCTTCTTGCTCTCCTTGTAGTGAAGGAGCCACTTCCACCTGCCGCTGCTGTTGAGCTTCTCCAGCACCTTCATCACCTCCTTCAGTTGCCCTGGGGAAAGAGCAGGAGATGGAGGGTAGCCGAGGGTGGAAAGGGCACCTGGAGCTCTCTGGTCCTCAAAGCAGGGCCAACTTTGTTGTTGAGGACCTTGACTGGGAGAGGTTTGAGTATCTCCCAGGATGGTGACTCAAAATCTCTCTGGGCCACCACCTTTCAACACTCCTGCTGTGAATTTTTGCTCTTAAGAGGAATATCTCTCAGCGCAACTCGTTCCCGTTGTCTCTTGCCCCATCACGGCATCTCCAAGAAGGGCCTGGCTCTGTTTTCCCTCCCTCTTGCTCTTCCCTTTGGCTTCTCCTCTCCAAACTGACCACCCTGGTGCCCCCTGTGCTGCTCGGCCTTCTTGGTGGCCTCTGTGGTACTTGTCCCAGCCTGTTACGGTCTGCGTCAACCTGCCACCCTCCTCACAAACACCAAGTAGAAGGAATAGGAGGATCATCCCTGGGAAAGCAAGAGGATTCCCTACAAGACCCTTCTCTGCTTTTGGGGAGGATCTGGAGGCCACAAACAACTTTCCCCATGGATTTGCCGCTGGGGATCTCCACTGGGAGCTCATGCTGCCCACGTGAATGAGGGGCACTTGGTGACACTCACCCAGCGTGACCGTCTCCAGCACCTCGTCATCCGAGACCACGAAGCCGCCCGTATGGAAGAGCTCCTGGTACGTGCGCCCCGGCAGGTCCTCGGGCTGGTCCAGCCCGGCGAACACCACGTTGGGGCAGTGCTTCAGCCTCAGCAAACACGGCACCTGCTCGAGGCAGAGGGGCTTTGGTCGCCTCTCGCCAGCCCCGCTCCTTGAACTTGTCCCCAGGACACTCATGTCCCCGCAGCCCGACCCAAAGGGGAGACGCGTGATGCCCTGGGGGCCTTCATCACCCGCAGTGAGCTCGGCTTGCGGGAAGCAAAGCCCTCAGCCCTCACCTTGTGGATGTGCGAAGAAATGTCCTCGTTCCTGATGACGACCAGCAGCCGCTCGGCCTCGAGGCGCGGGGCCTTGCAGAAGCTCAGCGGCTCCGTCTCCTTGTGGCCGCCCTCCTCCAGCAAGGCCTGAAACAGAGAGCGCCGGGGGGCGTCAAGCAGCACCCTGATGGCACCACAAGCGCCACGAGACTGAGGGGGACAACACAGCGGGTGCCCCCCGGCCGCCCCCGTCACCTTGGTCCTGGCGAAGAAGGGGTCCTCGCCCGTCTCCACCAGGTAGAAGAGGCCGGCGCGGGCGCTGGCGTCGCGGGCCACGCGGCGCAGGCGGCAGCGCAGGGCGCTGCACAGGGCGGCGATGGTGTCCTCGAAGGCGGGCGGCCGCCGGCGGGGACACGAGGCGCCGGGTGCCGCGGCGGCCCCGCGCGCCGGCCCCGCGCCCGCCCGGCCCCGCAGCACCCGGCCCAGCTCGGCGTACTCGGCGAGGATGAGGGCGATGTCCCCCCGCGCCGCGCGGGGCTCCCCATCATAGCGGAGCTTGCGGAGGTGCCCGGGGGCCGCGTGGCTCCGTGGGCACCGCGTGACACCGGCCGGCCCCGTGGCCGAGGGCAGCAGCGTCACCCGCAAGGGGCTGCGCTGGCCGGGACGCCGCTCGGGCGACCCCGGCACAGCGGAGTCTTTTGGGAAGATGCTCTCAGAGGTAGAAGAGGGTGGTTTCCTGCTCCTCAGGATCTGCTTTAGCTTATAATGGAAGCGGAGACACTCCAGGTCCAGCGTGTCCTGTGTGACCCCCGGGGAAGTCCTCCTAGTCCCCAGCAGTGACCGCAGCAGATGCGAGTGCCGCCCGTGCCGGCCGCATCCCATCTCCGGCTGCCGAGTTCCCGCCGCGTCCCGGTGCCTTCTGGTCACGGTGAAGTTCACGTAGTCCCTGGGGACGCCTCGGTCGTCCGTGATACTGACGTAGGGCGGCTCAGGCTGCCACCAGCGCTGCGGCGCTCCCGGCGACCTCCAGCCCTCGCTGCGCCCGTCCGCCTGCTCCGAGCTCCCCGAGGACACGTCCCAGCTGCTCCCGGCGTCTGCGGCATCCATGGATTTCATGCTGTAGGAAGCCCGGGACGTGCGGAGCTGACAGATGGTCCCTCCAAAGTCCTCCCGGTCTGAGTCGCTGCAGGAGGAGCCGTGCGTGGAGGCCGCGTGTCCCTCCGTGCCGGGGAACCACTTTGCTCCCAGCAGCGCATCCGAAACATCCGTGGTGTCACAGAGCTCCGGTGACGTCTCCCGGCGGGTCCGGAGCAGCGTCTCCAGAAAGGAGGGAATGGGGGTGGCTCCGTGTGCGCGCTCCGGGACGGCGAGCGCGCTGGGCTCCCCGAGCAGCACGAGGGGCGCCGGGCAGGCGGCAGCGGCGCCGCTGCGGCCGCCGGCTGCCTCACAGCTCCCTGCGCGGCGCCGGGCGCCCGGCTGCTCCTGGGACACGGAGCCGGGGTTCGGGCACCGTCCCGCGGGGGACGCGCGCTCCGGGGTCCGTGCTCTGGAGTCCATGGGCGGCTCGGGGCCACACGGATCTGCCCCGTGTCCGTGCTGGGCTGCAGGAGGTGCCGCGCATGGGTCGCCATCTCGGCACTCTCCCGCGTCCAACGTCCCCATCCCTCCTGCCAAGGAGGCGCCGGGAGATTCCGGGCGGTCACAACGGGAGCTCTCAGCTCCACGTGGCGCATCCCGGTGTCCGGCCCCCGGCACCTCGCTGCCTTCGGGGCTCGATTCCTGGGCGCCCGGCGAAGCGCCGTGAGCACCCGAGTCCCCTCCGTGCCCCGACAAAAGGCAGCCGGGTCCCCCTGGGACACTCGGTGACGGAGCTGGCGTGGATGTCCCCGGAGCGGGACACTCTGGGGGTGCCCCCGCATCTGCTGCTCCATCCGGGGGAGCCCCGTGGACGGGGCTGGAGCCGAGTGCTGCCGGCAGCGGTGCCCTCGCTGGCGGCGTCTCCCTGCCCTCGTGCTCTGCGTCCCCGCCGCCGCCTTCAGAACACGCTAAAGCACCAGGCCCCGGCAGCCCGCGTTCATATTCCGAGTCTTCCTTCTCTTTCTTTTCCTCCTCTGCCTCTTCCTCCTCTCCTTCCCGGTCTCCTGAGGGATGCTGTGATTCCCTCCCTTCTCCGCCAGCTCCCTCTGGCCTCGTGTCGCTGGGATAAACTTCCAAAGGCTCCGAATTGTGGAGGGGCTGCGGCCCCTGCTCAACACGTCCGCCCGGGGGCCCGGGACAGCCGCTCTCCAGGGGATCCGGGCGGCCGCTCCGGGCAGCCCTGCCGGCACCCAGGGCTCCAACTTGCGGCTTTTCCCCCCTGGCCAGTGTGGACGGGGACTCGCTGGGATCACCGAGCTCCTCCGAAGGGCCGGGGGCGACCGCAGGGTCCAGCGGTCCCTCACCGGGAGGCTCCTCCTGAAATGACACCATTCGGAGGCTAAATTTCCCAGGAGACAAGTGCGGGAAGCAAAAGGCATGGGCAGGATCACAGGTACTTTAAATATTCACTTCTCATGAGTATCAATCCTTAGGGGGATTAGTTTAGATTAGCCTCAAAATTTGGGCTGGAAATAGGTCTGCAGAGACTGTTTGAATTTTACCCAAATCCCGACCATCCATAGACCACGGAAACTGCAGAAATTCATTACAAATAACTAGAGTGAGCTATTAATTAATCTCACTGGGGGAGAAAGGGGAAAGTCACAAGCAGTGACTACAAAATGCGTGGGGAGAGCCCTGCAAGCCGGCGAACCCCCCTGAGCAGCCCAGGGCACAGGGAGGCTCCCAAGTCCCGGCCCCAGGGTGTTTGCGATCCCTCTCCATCCCGGGTTATGCATCCACGTGGAGCCCCTGCTCCTTGGATGCGGTTTCTCCCGGAGCTCCGGACAAGGCTGAGCTCTTACCGGAGTGGCAGGCGCCTCTTCCGCCGCCGGGCTGCTCTCACGGGCACGAGTGGAGAGGGAAGGGCTCTCGGGATGGCTTGTGGATGATGGCTCCTCCACGCAGGGCAGCTCCCCTACAGAAGAAGACACCGTGCTATCCACGAGGCCCTGGGCGCCGTCTGAGTCCGTCTGCGAGTCTGCAGGGCTCTGCTCCGTGCAAAAAGGTCCCTGGGATCGTGCGCCGGGCTTGGGCAAGCTGGGCAGGCGGTCGGGGTCCGACTGGGAGTCTGCAGGACACGTCTCCAACCCAAAACCGTCCTCGCTGTCGTCACTCAACTCCAGAAAGTCCCCCGTGCTGTTTATTGACACGAACTTCTTGGGGTTGCTGTGCTCCACCACCTTCCTGGTGCTGCTCAGGAGCTTGCTGGGCTTGCTGTAGAAGAGAGCCACCCACATGTGAAGGATCAGCTTCGTTTCCTCCACGTCGTCGGGCAGGTCGGAGTCCCAGGGCCTGGAAGGGAAAGAAAACAGAGCCTGAGAGGTCCTCGTCCTCCCTCCAGCTCACGCAGCACGAGCTGGCTCGTCCCCGGGCTCCCCGCAACGCTCAGCGAGGCTGTAAACGCTCCCCTGCATCCACAGATCACTTGTTGGTTTTGACCTGTTTGGAGCACAAGAAGAAAAGACAGAAACTTGTGACCACAAATGAGCATTTGGCTCCCTGCCCCTGGAAGGCACCAGAGTTTGGACGTGACAGAGCTGGAGGGGACAAAAAGGCATTACCCAGCAAAAGCAGAGCCGAAAGGCGGGGGCACAAGGGCTCACAGAATCGCAGAAGGGTTGAGGTTGGAAGGGACCTCCAGAGATCATCTAGTCCAACCCCTTCACACGCAGGGTCACCTAGAGCAGGTGGCACAGGCTGCATGCAAGCGGGTTTTGAAGATCCCCAGAGAAGGAGACTCCACAGCCTCCTTGCGCAGCCTGTGCCAGGGCTCTGTCACTCTCACTGCTAAGAAATTTTTCCTTAAGTTCCTGTGGAATTCTGGTGCTTCAATCTGTGGCCATACGGCTCCTGGTATATGGCTACATGGCCCTCTTTACGGCTCCGGGCAGCTGGACTTACCCATGTAGGGCACGGATGACGGTCTTCTCCAGGGCGTCCCGGGTGTACCTGCTGTCCAGGCTGAAGAGGTAGCCGGCCTCGCAGCGGCACGTCACGGTGACGGAGCCGCCGCAGCGCCGCACCGTGTGCGTCCGGGCGAAGTTGTCCGTGGGGCCGCCGCTCTGCCGTGGGTGGAAGGGCAGCCCCTGCCCCACGGGCGGCCCCGGGCGGCCGCTCCTGGGCCCGTTCCGGGCGGCCCAGGCCGTGGGATGCGGCGTTCCCCTGGGATGCGGTGGCTTCCTCGCGTGCTCGGGCATCTGCGAGGCGTACGAGTGCTCGGAGCAGATGAAGGAGGGCCTGGTCACCTCGGGCTCCTGAGCCTCGTGGAGCTTCGCAGCGCTGGGGCTTGGGTTGCTCTTCTTGCTGGAAACGCCTGGACTTTTCTCCCTGGAAATCGGGCCTGAGTCCTTTTTTAAATCCGTTTTTCCGGCGGGTTTTTCCAGCTTGTGGTTGGGCGAGGTGCCCGCGGTGGCCAGCCGGTCCACTCGGTGGTACTCGTGGTCGAACGCCGAGCGCGACGGCCGGGGCCTGCGATGGCCCCGCGGCTCCGTCGCGGCGCCGCAGGCGGCAGGGACAAGTTCAGGGATGCAGGAACCCAGCGCCAGGTCGGCCAGCAGGTTCAGCGCGTGCGACTCGTAGTTGTTCCCTTGCAGATCCACGTCCTCGGCAGGATAAATCCCACTCACGACACTCGACGCTCCAAGATCTTTGCCGAGGGTCTCGCTCGGCAGGATGGAGATTGACTCCTTGGGCTCTGCAAGAAAGGTGGAGGATCAACAAGGGCCCCAAACGAAGGTTGTCATTAGCAGCTAATGAACAAATGACTTTAGGAGATGCCCTGTGGCACTCACAACCTCCTCTGTGTTCAACGGGCTCAGGTCAACAGGACAAAGGGGTTTCTCCAACAGGGATTTGTTGTATTTAAGAAAACTCCATGGTCATGTTGACCATGGTCCACGGTTCTCCAAGGAACCCAGAGTGAGCAAAATTCCCTTGGCCTCCATGCACAGGGTAATTTGGCCAGGAAGGGGAAATGCCAGTGCAACAGAAGGTATTTTTAAGTGTTTCCCTAAGCCTTTTTCTTGCCTTTCTGCTTTTTATCTGAAGATTTGCACAAACAGAAAAACCCTGTGCTGTGCTTTTGGCAAACCACAGAGTTACAGGAAGAAAATCCTCTAAAACACAGAGAAAAGTCAATCTGTTCTCATGCCTCCCTTTGCACGTCTTCCTAGGAGCACAAGCTGCCCCTGGGCTGTACTGCATGAGGAGTGCAAAATTCTGGGGTCTCTAAAAGGCAGCCAGAGCAGAGAAAATAAATATTTATGGAGATTTGAGGGTTAAAAAAAACCTTGCCATGGTGACCACATTCATAAAATAAATATGAAGTTATGAAGGAACGAGCAAACTGAGCCACAGGGCAAACTCAGCCTTCAAAGCCTCCTCTTCCTCTGCCCGGAAGGGAGAAAAGCTGGAGGTGGCTCTGGAAGAGGACAGCAAAGCGCATGTGTGAGAAAACAGGGCAAATTAGCCCCAAAATGGCTCTCCTTTTCCAGTGTTTAGTTTGGCACCATGATAGTGGCTTCTAGACGCTGCACTTGGGGCTTCTCCGGGGCCTTTTTGGTCTGTCTGTGAAGCGTGTGACCCTTCTTTAAAAAGCCACTGGATTTATAACGTCATGGGCTACAAATCCAGGTGGATCTTGGCCGTGAGCTGCCTCTTTCCAAGCGCAGCCACTAAAACCAGGTGGTTTCAGCTCTCCCAGCCGTTTGCCAAGGATGCAAACAGAGGGAAGGGGAAAGAAACAGGGAAAGATCCTTGGGGTTTGTGCAGCCCCGGCTGGGGACATTGCTGATCACCACGGTGGAGATGTCCAAGGAGAACCCTGTGCTTACCCCTTTCCTCTTGATTTTTGGCTTGAGGCTTCGAGGGGCTTTTTACCATCTTCTTCTTCAGTGGCTTTGTGGCTGCCTGAGCGCTAGGAGCCTTCCTCCCATTGGGTTTCTTCAGCTTCTTCGCTCTCTTTGCTTCCCCTGTAGGGCTGCTGGTTGCCTCCTGCAGCGGCTCGGCCTGCGTTTTGTGCACAAATTCTGCAGACAGGACCTCTGCACCTGGGACAAGGGACAGAAAAGGCGGGGGTTGGTTTTGAGACGTTATTTAAATTTGAAAGCAAGGCCCAAGAGATGGGAGAACAGGAAGCGCTTATTAAAAATTAAAACTTCTTTAGCTCATTAAGACCCTGCCCTGTTGACCTCCAAGATGGGATCTCCTGGGATGTGGCTCCTTCCTGTCACCCTGGTGCCCTCAAAGGGAAGGGCTCAGAGTAGGTTTGTGTTAAGAGAGGGTGTTTGGTTATCTAGACAACCTGCAACAACCACGGATGAGCAGCTACTCCTTTCCTGAGATGCTGACAGTCCTCGGAGAAGGGAAGGGACAACCACAACCCAGCAGAGCTGCCTGCAATGCAAAGGACGATCGCACTGAGTTTCTCCCCAATTTTACAGCACTAACCTCTTTTCCTCCTGTGTGGAAACTGCAAATTGGCCAATTTGAGCATGGGCTCACTGGGACTGGCCGCGAGTCCCGGCTTCTTCGGAAAAGCGAAGTTGATTTTTTTCTTCTTGGTCGCTTTCCTGTTTCTGCTGCCGTCCCCCACGGGATGAATTTGCATCTTGAGGGGGGACCACTTCTTCCTGCTGCTGCTCACGATGGCTCGGCTGGATTTCCTCTTGCTCTGCTGCACCCGCAGCTTGCCGGCCGAGGTGACATCTGCCGTGGTCCCTTTGCCACCCTGGGTCAGGCCCGCAGCAGCTTTGGGGGCTTCATTCCCGACCTGCAGGGCTGTCACGTTGGGAGGAACAGGATCCAGTGGCGCCACTAAAGAGAAGTCCACGTTACAAACAGCTTCCGAGCTGCAGCAAAGGGACTGAGCGGCGCCGGCCAAGCAACCCAGAGCAGCTGAGATTTCCAGGGAATAGCTGCTGGGATCGGAGAGGTAATGCCGCAGCTGGGAAAAGGACTGCTCGGAGCATTTGGTAAGGGGATTAGTACCTTCCTCCTCGGCTGGTGACAGGAGAGAAGAAAGGGGAGCTGGGTTGGGTTGGCCAGAGGTAGGCTGTGCATTTTGCTCAAGTTTGGCAAATTCCTGGAAGTGCTGTTTGATTCGTGCGCCGGTGCTGACGGGCTCCCTGTGTGAGGACTTGGTGGCTTTCTGCACGGCGTACTGAAGCCCAGGCAAAACTGAGGCTATTTTCAAAGAGATGTCACCCTCTTCCTTTTCAGCTTTTGGGTCTTGTTTGTCAGCTGGGAAAGGAAAAGAAACAGAGTTTTACTCATGTTAAAAAAGAGATTCAGTTCCTCAAACCGCCTTGCCACTGCACACTAACAGAATGCAAAAATGTAGGAAAAAGACCCATGAGGCAACCTCCAAAAACAGCAGCCCCAGGGACAGCGTCCTCGTGGGATGGATGTTTGTAATCGCTGCAGGCACAGAGGAAGTGGGAGTAAGAAGTGGGTTAAACCAAGATGAGCGACTGATGTTTTATCAGCCAGCCCCTTTCTCCAAGAAATTAAAGGATTTTTAAATGTCCCCTCCTGCTGACGTTTCTAGAGAAACCCACCGTTCATGACAGGCAAAATCCGGAAGAAAATATATACCTGTTTTTGACTTGTCCACATTTAGGGCTGCCCAGACAGGCAGTTTACACCACGAGTGTATTCAGATCTCTTGTGCTTTTCCTGTTCCTCCATTTCCACCTTCCGCAAGCACAAGTGGAAGCAGCACCAAGAGCCGGGGCTGAGCAAGGCCAAGCAGCAGAGATGCCTGGATAGCATCACGGATAAGGAGGAGCAACCCCTGGATGATCCTGCTGGAAGCAGCTGGGCTTCACCATTGATTTCAGCAGGATCAACCTGCTACTGCTGACAGCACAGAGGGTTTTTCATGTTTTGGACCTGGCCACTCCATGGGTTAAGCTCCGATGCGGATGTGTTTTTGGCTGCAGGGGCAGGCAGGTTTCCTGTGCTCGCCCTACATTGCTGCACGGGAAGGCAGCAGCTTCCAAGGCTGCTGCTTTTGAAACATTATCCGTGATTCAGAGCCGCGCTGAGCGACTTTGTGTCCATCCATCACCCCTTTCTGCACCTCCACGGTGCCCTGGCCATCTCCACGCGCAGCCTTTCCTGCCCACTGACTCCTGCAGGGCTCTGCTTGGGCTGCGGGGGAAGGAGAAGCCCTCACGCATACGGGGTTTGCAATCCCAGCGGGAAAAGCTCTTGGAAACGGGGCCGGCAGTCGGGCGTGCACGCATGTGCAGGCGTCCTGCTCCCAGGAGCATCTGGAAGCTGTTAACGCTGCAGCTCGTGTCACGGCGCAGCGCAGGGTGCTTCCTCACCCCTTCCTCCCGCTCCGGCCTCTTCCCAGCTGTTTTCCAGTCGCCTGGAATTGGCCTCCTCTTTCACCTTCCCACCGGCTGCCCAGGCTCTGTCCTCGCTGTCTCCTCCCTGCTCCTTTCCTCACCTGGTCTCCCTCTCCTCCCATGCTGATATCCAGCCTCGCTCTTGACCCCTGTGCTTGAATTCACGGAATCTCAACATCTACGTGGCCAGATCCCTCCTCCAGCCTGGTCTCCACACGCGTCCTCCTCTTCCTCACTCAAATCTAGGGCTTAATTCAGACCTCACAGCAAGGACTCACTAGCTGCTACACTCAGCACAGAGAGCCGGTCCCTGCAGGGACTGTCCTGTCATCATTCTGCAGAGGTGCTTGTTGCTCTGCTGTCCCTAGCGAAGCAGCTCAGGAAGTTATCAGAGCAACACAAGGTACCACAAGGTAAGTTCCTGAACTCTGGCTGTCTGAATTCAGGCCTCAAAGAGCAGCCCCCACTGCTCAGCCGCATCTTCTCCCCACTTACTAGCCTGCTTCTCGTGCAGGTTGCTGATGGAAAACAGAGTTTGCAGTTGGAGGGCAAACAACGGCAAAGGCCAAAGTGATCCAGACGTTCTGGATGGTCCTCTCTGCTCTCCTGGTGATTTTCTCTTCCAGGCAGGACACGTGTCACATAGGGCTGCATGGGCAGCGCAGGTTGTTGCACTCATGCACACCCAGATGGACGAAAATACCAGTGTGTGTTGGCATAAATAGTCTCAATGGGATAAATGACTCAACGGGAAGCGGGCCAGGAATTACGTGGAGCACAGGGGCCCTGCTCATGCTGGGGATTTGCGAGGTTCCGAGAACTCCTGAGGGAGCAGGTTGGTTGAGGTTGGCAGGGACCCCCAGGGCTCCCCCAGCGCAGCCCCTGCTCCAGTAGGGACACCCAGAGCACGGGGCACCCGGGCGCATCCCGGCGCGCTGGCAGATCTGCAGAGCAGGAGCCTCCGCAGCCTCCCTGGGCAGCCTGGGCCAGGGCTCGGGCACCCTCCCACCAAACAAGCTCTTCCTCACGGCCACGTGGAGCTGCCTGCGCTGCAGCTTGGCCCCAGGGCCCCTTGGCCTGCCACTGGCCACCACCCACAAGAGCTTGGCCCTTCCTCCCTCCATCCTCCCCTCGGCTGCTTGCACACACTGACCAGCTCCCCTCTCGGCCTCCTCTTCTCCAGCTCAACAGGCCCCGCTCGCTCGGCCTCTCCTCACACCACAGCTGCTCCAGGCCCTTCCTCAGCCCTGTCGCTCTGCGCTGGCCCCTCTCCAGAAGCTCCACGTCCCTCTTGTCCTGGGGAGCCCAGAGCTGCCCCCAGTGCTCCAGGTTTGGCCTCCCCAGAGCTGAGCAGAGGGGCAGGATCCCCTCCCTGCCCTGCTGCCAACGTCCTCCTGATGCAGCCAGGAGCCCATTGGCCTCCTTGGCCACGAGGGCTCTGCTGCCTCATGGTTAACTTGTCAACCAGGACTCCCAAATCCCTTTCCAAAAGAGGGAGCTCATGGATAAAGAGCCGATGGATACAGAGAGAATAGGTGGCGACTGCAGCAGACGCTGAAACTCACCTTCATTTCGAGACCTGCAGGTTCAAACCTGCAGCCTTTACTCGCTGCCTCCGTGTTCGCTCAGTCCCTCTGCCCGAGTCAGCAGGGGGAAAATGGGACCCACATCCAAACGGAGGGAGCAATGTCCCTTCCCCATCCCTTCTCCCTGGTCCCTACGCCAGCAGGCACCCTTCCCTCGTTATCCCAGCAGAAATCCCTTCACTTGTTTAGGGCGGGCTCTTCTCCTGCTGTTTAGGCCATGGTGTCAGCACAGGGCGCAGCAAGCGCACGGTGTCGTCTTGCCCCCTTCCACATGGGACCAGGGAGCCAAAAAGCAGCTGAGAGGGGGAAAGGGGCTTGTTCTGCACCTGCATGAGCTTCCAGTTCCAAACACAGCTGTTCCCAATGCCTGAAGTGACGGGTTGAGACGTGAGGACCTGGGTTTAGAGCAGCGTAGCCACAGAGCTGGCTCCAATCTCCCCTCAGGGCCTCCTTGAGCTCCCCCTTGCATGAAAGCTCCGGGCAGCTGAGCAGAGAATCTGGCTCTTGAGGCCCACGAGGAGGATTCTGCACCCAAAACCCAGGGCCTGCAGCCAGCGAAGCGGCGAGATCGAACCTACCTTGCAGACCCACCTCCCGCGATGAGGCAAACAGGAACAGGGCCAGGAGGCTGACAGGCTCCTCGGGGTCAAATGCTGCAAAAACAAGAAGGTTTCGTTCAGGGGGAGCGTGGCCACCCTGCCTTTCCACACCAGAGCAGGAGATGGCATCCCACGTACTGGTTTCCACGTGGCCACGTCTTACCGTCGTCTCGCGTCAGGGCAGTGGACGTGAGCAGGATGAGGGCGCCTCGGTCTTGTAAATATTTGATGATTGCCTAGAACAAACACGTGTAGAGTTAGAACAACTTCTCCCTTCCCTCCTCAGGTAAACTTCATATCGCTTGGCAGGACTGATAACAGGCACTGAGTGATGGCAAAGAGGCAGTGACAGCAGCAGCTTGTGCCCTGCTGAGGAGGCCAGCGGGCAGTTTACTGGACTCCATTCAGTCCACACCAGTTCCATCAACTGGGACCAGTAACCCAGAGAAGGGATTGTTCATTTATGCTGTTATTCAGCTCTCAAAATCCTCTCACCTCTTCCTGAAGTTTTGTTTGTTTCTGAACTTGTTTCTGTTTCTTTAGGCCAAGCAGCTGCAATTAATGAATGGATCACAGAATGGTTGAGGTTGGAAGGGACCTCTAGAGATCATCTAGTCAACCAAGAAGGTGACTCCACAATGTCCCTGTTCCAGGGCTCTGTCACCCTCACAGGAAAGAAGTTCTTAAATGAACAAGGATAATAATTTTAGTGCCTTCCATTCAGAAGCTTCCAGGTACCTTGGCCGGAATACAGCTCATCCCTACAAGGGGAGGCTTTTTCCAGCAGGAAAAGCAAAGCTGGACTCTCCAGCCTCTGAGAAAACAACCAATTGTGCCAGCCACGAGCCCAGCTAAAGTTCAATCCGTGCAGCTTCTTCATAGCAGCAGCAGCATCCATAAATATGTGGAAAAAACCACATTTGCTGAGTCTACGAAGCTCCCACGGTGCCATCTCAAAGCTGGAAGCTCAAAGGACACACACATTTCTTGAGGCTTTTCCTGTGTTTGGCTGTTTTCTGATGCCTCATCTCATACCTTTTGTGACGGATACGCTCCTTTCCCAGCTCATCCTGGCCTGTTCCTTACATGCAGCCCTGTTTTGKTGCTGACCACCAGCRACCGATCKAATTCTGGCAGGCGCCATCGTCCTGATTTCTGTTCTCACTGAGACTTAACAAAAACAGTCCTCWAGGCTGCRTCGTAAACAGGGAGATAAGGCCGACACACTAACCTAAGTCTTTGAAGTTAAAAATACGACTACAAGCCAATCATCTTATTCCATAAATACTCGGACAGCCTGAGAGCCYCTTTGWGCTCTCCTGACMYRGCTGYGGCCTGCACACCAGGATCTCCCCTTGGGCAGGGACGCCTCTCAAGGTTACTCCTCGAGGTTCCTCGAGAGATCTTCCTTKCCAYCRCAGATTTGTGGTAAGTGAATATAGCGCGCTTTCTTTCTTTCTTTCTTCCTTGCTTGCTCTCTCTCTCTCTTTCTTTAACTTTACTTTGTAACATAAGCACCCTCATTCATAAACCGTTGACCAGGTCTGGGACTAGGATTGGATTCCGCCGCACCCAGACTCCTCTCAGAAGGAGCCTGGAAAGCAAGGGGGTCCAATCTGAACGTCGTGACCCAACGGGAGGGTATCCCAAGATAATCCTGTATTATCTTGTGCCTCCATGTAGTAAATAATAGAGTGATCTTGCCATAGAATCTCGTGAAATCATTATTATACTAATAAATCATACTGTTAGTTCTCTTATTTGAGTGAAGTGCATTTTGTCACTCGCCCCTGCCACCACTCGTTCTGTGACACCTTTGTGTGGGCCAAGGTGCCTTTCCTCACGCGGGGCTCCTTCCTCCATGAAGATGCTTCTTTTCAGGAAACTCGTAGGAACCGAATAACTTCAGGGCTTCCAATCCTCCCTGAAACTTGGCTGATCCCAGCTGACACGTTCAGCCACGACAGATTTCACAGCCAGAAATGGAGCCAGTCTCCTCCTCCAGTGACAAATGAACAACTTTGGAAATTGTGAACAACTTGAGGGCAATATTCACTCTTCAGGACAGCAGCTCCCTGCTTCAGTTGTCTCAAGCCAGCACAGTAGAAGAGATAAAAGCCAAAATCTCCGCTGTGTAAATCCAGCCCAGTGAAATAGCTGTGGTTTCCCACAGTGGATCAGCTTTCAAGAATGTCAGGAGGAAAATCAAACCGAGAGCGGAGGGAAGTCACCTCACACCAATGGTGCTGCTGGATTCGGGCAGCCCCAGCGCTCCCCGGGCTCCCTTTCACTCTCAATCCTGAAAGTGAAAGGATATTCCCCTTCTAGGCACTTTTGGGAGCTGTCACGGAAGCACATTCACCCACCGGGCACTCGAGAGTGTGTTATGGCGTGGGAGGAATCATTCTGCTTCCTCACTGAAACGTAGGAGATGTTTTAATCCAGCTCCATGTGTGTAAGAAGGTTGGGAAACCTCAAGGAAACAATGCACCTCCTGGCTTCCAAAGCCAAATTGCTCCTGGCCGTGAGTCAACCCTGTTGTTTTCCAGGGATTCTGGCTCTCTGAGGCTCGTTGGGATGCAGGATCAGAGCCTCCGCAGACTCCAAGGATGAGCTGCACCCCGGGGGCTTCACGGTGGCACATCAGGGATCGCAGCCAGTTGATCCCTCAGAGTCATCAGGAGTCGTGGCCATCACACAGGGAGCAGAAAGAGCTCAGTGTGCTGGAAAAAAACCTCCTTGGATAATATAGGGCACAGTCCTTGGGATGAGGAGTGAATTCCCCTCCTGAGCCAGGATAAATCTCAGCATCTCAGATGCCTCAAAGCACAAGAGCTTTCAGCAGTGCAGCTGGGAGCATCTAGCTGAGTGGGTGCTATTTTTCAGCACCCAAGTCACAGCTTGTCCCTTTTGTTCAGTCATTATTTAGCGTTGTGCTAAATAACTGTGGGGTTTGGCTCCTGCTTTCTTGATAAATAAAATCCCATGCAGCCCTTGCAAACTATGCCTGTTTGCAATGCAATGGGAAAACTCATTAATAATGACAATTTAATATAAAAATCTCCTCTGGCCTAAAAAGAGCCACCAAAGAGGCTTGCTTGGTATAAAGCTCAGTGCATCATTCTCCTCACTCCAGATCAGCTCACAGCAGTGACCCTCAGCTAACAGTTTACATATAGAACATTTAAACTATGCCTGTGAATAACAAAGCATAAAAATAATACTTAAAGCAGGGAAATTTGTTCCACTTAGTGTTCAAAAGCTGTGAATAACATTCCCTAAAGTTCAACGGGCTGCTTAAATATCTTTTAAAAAAAAACTTTCCTCCTGTGACAAATCGAGAATTTACAGTTCTTACCAAGTCTTTCTCCTTCAGGTTTTGTAATAATTCATCCATTTTATGTTGCTCCTTATTGGATATTTCCACTTCATACAGGCTGAAGTAAATGCCTTGAAAACACACTGCAGGCAAAACACAGAGAATCTGATGTTAAAAAAGAGCAAGTCTTAGATGAACCCTGAATGAGCTCTCGTGAGAGGGAGAGGAGAGTGCAGGAGGTAGAAAAATTGTGGGTTTTTTTCAAAGGATGGTTATCAAAATCTCTTACACTGGTACACGAGTTCATATCACAGGAAATGTTTCCTATCTCACGAGTGCAGCTTGCAAAAGGGATTTAATTGATGCTGGATTTCATTCTTTTCTGACTGTAAAGCCCTACATAGGTGGTGGGGCTACCACCCAGCAGTGGAGAGGCAGGAGATACCAGGTCTGATCCTAGAGGTGGAATATCCCCTCTCTTGGCAGCAACATCTCACGATGCAGGGGAAATGATTTGGACATCTTCCACACCCACCTGGATGCTATCCTGTTCCACGTGCTCTAGGTGTCTCTGCTGGAGCAAAGAGTTGGACTAGATGATCTCTAAAGGTCCCTTCCAACCTCAACCATTTTGTCAATCTGTGAAACCCACCTCCCTGCACAGCTTAAACACACTTGGCACCCTGAGGTCTCAACCTGCAGTGTCTCCAACCTGTCCCATCGCAGAAACACCAGGGCAGCCAAAGGGATGCCCTGAGATGGTGCCACATCAGGAGATCATATTGAGCATGGACCTGAGAACATCCCTATCCTGCTCTGAGCTCCTTCCTACCTTGAATATCTGCAATCATCCAAGAGAGGAGTGGATGCTACTCAGGCCTGAGCTCTGACCCAGGTCCCTGGTGCAACACCAGGCAGATGTTACTCACCACACTGGTGGATTCTAGGCTCACCTTCATTCCTGACGTAGTTGCTTTTCCCAAAGGCAGCTTCTGGGAGCTTTTTCTTCAAGTCGGATAATCCCATGACATGGTTCATGTCCAGGTTGGGGGGCCTGTGGGGAGAGGGCAATAGGGGATGATATGGAAGTATAAAAGGCTCTTAGGTTAAAGGATAGCAGAGGTTACTCTAGCACTGTGAAACCAGAGACTGCAGCTCTGGAGAAGGCCAGGGAAGTTCTTAGCACTTTGCCAATTTGAGGCTTCTATTTGGAAACACCTCCAAATCCTGGTAATGGCATCTATGTTACTGGCTGTCACTGGCTGTCTCAAACTGCTTTTGCTGGTTGGTTTCTGACTACTGAGGATATTAAATCTCATTTATTTTTCTTTTTCTTTTAGAATAGTTACTTCAATACTTCATTTGTTCTTTTGCCAGGCTGCAAACACAACCAGTTGACTGCACCACCACTGCTCACAAGGAGCAGTGCTTGCAAAGAGGAAAAGCCCAACCAGGAATAATTGATTTGGAATAAATATCCCCCAATAATACAGCAAAGTGATGGCAAAAAACACCTGTTTCCTGCTGCAGCTCAGGGCCTGACCTGGCACAACTGCAAGGAAAGGATGGGGCAGGAGAGACAAAGCTGGTAGAAAGAAACCCAGATACTGGCAGCAGACCTACCTGCTAGGGGTGCAAAGGGGACCCCAAAATGCTCACCAAAAGCAGCTGTAACGCACAGAAAGAAGAGAAAGAGGCTACGTACAGCTGGGCTGGGATCGTGGAGCTGAACGGGGTCCGCAGGGCGATGCTGCACAAGAGCTGGCCTCGGATGGAGAGCTGCCCCCTCCATGGGCAGTAAGATGCTACAGGCAAAAGGAAAACAAACAAACAAAAAAAACCTCAGGGAAACAGGAGAGAAGAGGAAGGCAAACACAGAAAGGCACATTTGTGAAGCAACACCAACCACCAGTTGCTCTTACCTTTGTGATTAAGGTCAGGTCTAAAGAAAAGGGAGAAAAAGAGGGATATTTAGCAGTGGGAAAGAGAAACCAGCCCACCAAAGTGGCTGGAGATTTCAGAACAACAGCAAGTTACTTACAGGCTCTCTCTGGCTACGAGGGGCATCCCCTTGGGCTCCTTGTACTGGCAGGCGATGACCATGTAGGGGCAGATCTGCCTGGGGCGCTCCGCGACGCTGCCACCGGACACTTCGTACACGTAATACTGGGGGGAGAAGGGAAACACAGATGGGAAAACAGCGAGGAGGGAGTGAGGCACCTCAGGTCCTCCCACGAAACCTCCTACCTGGCTCTGCTCGAAGGCCTGGAAGGGGCTGGTCCTGCTGCTCACGGTGTTTCTGCTCACGGCGATGTGGCAGTCGTAGCCTGGTGATGGGCAGGTGTAGCTGGTGCTGTGATTCTCACATACTGCCTTCACCTTGCCCTGTGCCAGCACGTTTATCAAAAAAAATGCAATTAAAAATGTATATCCTCACACGCCAACCTGTTGGCAGAGTGTATTTAAAGACATTTTAAATTAAAAATTAATTAAACTAAAAATTTAAATTAAAAAATTAAACTAAAATTAAAAGATCCCTGAATGCTCCTTTTCCTCCAAAGACCGTAGTTCTCAGTTGGGCTGATTTTACATTTTACTGATTTTACTGCCCCATCACAGTTTTGCTGTTCAGCAAATCCTTAAAAATCCTTATCCTTAAAAACCGATTGCATGCAAACCATTCCATGCAAAAATGAAGACTTGTATTTTACCTTAATTAGCTTAAAAATGACAATGTAGCCCGATTTTCCGTGATGCCAGGGTCTCGGATGAAGGCAGTCTGCATACTTGGAAATATAAACGCCTGTGAAAACAAAGCAATGCAATAGCACATGAACGGTCTGTCTAGTAAGGCTGATCACACGCCTGTAGTAAGGAAATTCCTAATGGAAAAGGGATCCTTGGCAGAGCCAGCATCCAGCTGCAAGTCACAGCAGCATTGGACTTGCCACCCTGAAAAGGGGGAAACATTTTCTGGCTCTTTTCCTCTTTTGGGCTGCTGGCACGGTGCAGTGTTGTCTCTTCCTGGGTTATCTCTAGGAAAGAAGGGAGCAAATCCCTTGGGTTTCTCCTGGGGAAAACAATTTCTCCTGAAATCAATCTGACTTGCACCACTATTAAGCAGGGAAAAGCACCAGGCAAGGGCTTGTCTCCAAAAGGAAGAACTGGCAAAGGACTTCTGAGTCCGCCTGGAAGCAGAGCAGGTCCTTTGCTTAGTCTCATGCTGATCATTTGGGTAGAGAAGGGCACTGAGGAGGGAGCAAAGAGGGAGTAGGCAGGGGGAAGGCTTTGGAAAAGGATCAGCTGATTATGCAGGCCATAATATTCCTCTCAGCCCAGTGGGATTAAAATACTGACTAAGATAAATAAGGAATTGCACACTTGCTCCTGGCAAAAGGATTTCTTTGAGTAGCACGTCCTGTGCTGTGCGTCATTGGGTATTTGTGGCCTCAGCTCTTGGAGCAAGGGACAAGGAGCAAGCACGGACTGTAAAGGGCTTGGACACGTCACGATTTGCTCTGGTTATCGACAGGATTGCTGGCAAAAGCTCAGCAAAGGCTCTCCGAGGAGCAAACTGGTGGGGAGAAGTGCCAAAAAGCTGTTTTGGTGACAAAGGTGAGCAGAATCACCGAGCGGCTGAGGCTGGAAGGGACCTCCGGACATCATCTAGTCCAACTGCCCTGCACAAGCAGGGTCACCTAGAGCACATTGCACAGGATCGTGTTATTATGAACATGCTGTTATTAACAAGGTTAATAATGGGTTGTTATTAACAAGGGAGGAAAAACTGAAATGGAGAGACGAGGTAACGTGTTCCCTTGGGAAGCCACCTAGCTCTGAAGGAGTAGGCAGATGGAAAACACTGCTGCTCGATTCACACAAACACAACTTCAAACGTGAGAAATACAGGAGTATCTTTGTTTTTTCAGTACCAGAAATACGTCTGGGCTTTGTTTTTCGTCTTGAAAGGAACAGTAAAGAGGCCTCTTGGCCCTGCGAGTGGCAGTTTTACCTTTTGCTGGATCCCCGAGTGTGGAGATGGAGCTGGTGTTTACACGCAGGCCTGTCTGACACACCTCTTTTGCCTTCAAAACAAGAGACAGACTCTTTTACCATCTATTTTTAAGTATAACAAACACAGTTGCTGAAATGTAGCACAACTTGTAAAGTCTTTTCAGCAAGGAAATGCTTTGGAGGTGCAGGTCAATCTGATACTACAAACACAACTGGATTCAATGCCCTCTAAAGCCAACAGAGGGAAAATTTGTGGTTTCACACACTGAATACTGAGATCTACTTATCAAGTGTTGCTACAACAACCCCCATGGAAACAGAAACATTTTCTACATTTGTGGGACAAGGAGAAAAATTCCAGTATTTCCAGAAACCACTGCAAGTGCAAGGCTGGACTTTGCCCTTTCTTTATCTGCGTGGAGAATTTATGGAAAAATAAATGCAAAGGGCCTGGCCCTTTCTACTCTACACTCCTTCCTGCATGGGCACAAGGACTCTGCTTTGAGAGTCTCCCACTGGATTTGATTTAATCCACTTCCAAAGTGGATTAATCTAGGCATGTGAAGACCTTTGGGATACTGGCCGAAGAGGGATCATGGGAGAAGTTAATATGAATTTATTGTGGGTGAGAAATAAAACTGAGTCAGCCAAACTGCACTCAGTCCTTTATAATTATAAACAGCATGGGACATTCACCTCACCTAATTTTTTGACACTTGAACAAGTGTGAAGTCTAGATTAGCCAACTAGATTTCTCTTCTGAAGAGCAGAGGATGAGAGGCACCTATAGAGAGGGTTTTAGCCCAGGAATTTTGCCTGTTTCTTGTTAGACTTGACCAAACTGCCCTCTGGAGAGTCCCTCTGTCCCAGGACTACACATGGAGCTCAGCCAGCTGGAAGAGGGTGCTAATTTTCCAACAGCTAAAATGAAGTGGAATGATTCCCACACGGACACTGAATGCAGTTCACTTTGGTGCAGCTAGTTCAAAATGAACAGAACTAAACTGCATTCAGGCCACTCTCACCCCAAACAAAACTTGCACTACTGTGATTTAACCCTGTATCATTAATTCACGTTAAAAGTGGATCCCCTTCAGTCTCTGTGATTCTCTGTCTCTGAGCAGACCAATTCTTCCCACAAAATCAAAAGCATCCCCATGGAAAAATGGGCAGGAATAGCTATTTCTCCATAGCTGTGCCAGGTTCTATCTCCATGTAAATGGCAAAACCAAGGGACCTTGGCTAAAACCACTTGAAAAACTGCTGCTCTCTGTTCTCAAAGGCTTTTTCCCGTTCAAAGTGTTCCTGAAAGGCTTCATCTGCTTGTACTTGCCTGCAGACTCACTGGGAAAAAAGGAAAGATCAGTTTATCTCCCTGCAGAGGGCAGAGGAGATAGACAGACCTCAAACCACAGTAATAAATTGGAGAGGCCCAAAGTAAGATACATGATTGCAACCTCACAGGAGTCACTTTTATGGTTTGCTCTGAACTATTTATGCAGTAGTAATTGCACTGACAACTGGGGTACAAAGAATCAGGGCATTTCCACCAACAGAACTGCTGGATTCCAGTGGGAAGGAGCCCACGTGCACTTGGAATCAACCTTGCTGAGCTGAAGAAACATCTCAAGTTACCTCGTCTTCGTTGTCAAACAGGAGAAACGCGAAGGTTTCCTCCAGCTCCTCCTGGCTGTAGCCAGCAGCTTCCTTGGCCTGGGCAAAAGCTTTGAGCTGCAGAAGACACAAGGACACTTTGTTCCAGTCTGATCAAACCAGAGCCCAGTAATCTTGGGGATATGGGGTACACATGGCAAGTATGCTGCAAGCAGCACCCAGAAGTAATCAAGTACTTGGGGTGTCTTGCATTTAACTCTGTGAGTATTTAACATCTCAAACCATAAAAAGGATAGTTTTTTATCTAGCTCGGCACTGACTACCTCAGATCTAAGCAGTCAAGATTTCTAAGCTCTACTTAATTCATGATAATAAACAGTTGTTGAGAGGCCTCTGGCTCTTGGTGGAGACAGCCTGTCTTCCACACCAAAGACAACAGGCTGCAGGTGAGGAGGAGTTTTAAAAGAGGCTCTGTAACCCCCTGTCCAAAGGGAAATTTGGGGTGAAAGCTGGTGCCTGCACAGGTGTGAGGAGAGGCAGGGAAACCCCACGCAGAAACCTGCCTTGCTGTGAATCAGCAGAGTTCAGGTTTGACATAAAATGCCATTAAAGTTCCCTGATAGACATCAAAGCAGCATTTCAACCTGCTCCACCTAGGCAGCAACTGCCGCTGAATTTTGGCAACCCTGGCTGCATTGACTTTTGTTCCTCATCAGATCAGGAAGGAAGAAAAGCAATGTGGCAAAGAAAAGGTTCTCCTCATGCAGGGAACACAGAGAGGAGGCAGATCAGGCACATGCTGCATGGGAAAGACACAAAGATCTGCCAATAAATCAGCATTGAGAGAGTCCAACAGTCCCACACGGGGACCCAGCGCCTCTCCTGAGCTCCCAGCAAAGCCCCCATCTCCCCCAGGCCTCACCTCGTTTACAAAAACATCGTTTTCCACCAGAATTGCTTGGCTGTACTGAAAACCGTCCCGAGATGTACAGTCCAAGTAGGAGCTCTGCAGCACCGAAACCGCTGTCTGCAAAAGGGAACTCGCCTCTTCCGACTCCGGATGCAAATCTGGAGGAAGGAAAGCAACAAGTAGGAGCAAATATTAACTCTGGACATCCCCACATGGTGCACGGGCCTCATCCAGCAAGTGCAGATCTCCACAGAGCTCTGTGGTTCCCACTGAAATGTCCCCAGTGGCTTCTCTCCAGCCACACAATCCCGAAGACGTTGCCTTTGCAAGTGAAATTGCTTTTGGGAAAGAGGAACACGAGCTCCCTGTTTGCCAGGAAGCTCTAGGAGCCTTCTCTAGGCTTTCTCTTCATCCTTTCTAACAAGACCAAGAATCTCTCTCTGCCTCCTAGCTCCACCTCCTCTGGCCAGCTTTGGAGCTCTTCCTGTGCAGGAGAAAAGGAAACTCGTAACACTCATTAAAAGCAAAACTCAGCAGGCCAGAGTGCTCCCTTCTTCCTTCCCCTAAGGAAACCATCCCCAAGAGACTCTACCCAACTAGAGGAGATGCTCAAGCACTTTGCAAACTACAAATGGGACCAGAAAACAAAGACATCTCTGAATTTTCTGTGATTTTGTATACACTGAAATCCAAGTATTTTAAAAAGCAGCTGCTTTGAAATACAGGAAATCTTGGGCTTGGGCTTTCTTGCAGGTTTTAAAACCTTTATTACCAGTGATGACTCACAAGGTTTCATACCTCACGTAGGGTTTGCACCATAAGCATGCGTAAAAGGGCTGCTTTTATGACCTGGTGAGCCTAAAACAAATATCCACAAAGGAAGAACTGTGAAATCCCACCTGAAGGACAGGTTCTGAGCTCTCCAAGGCTCTCCAAGGAAAAACTCACAGAGATTTTGCAGACAAACAGTTCTCACAATTACCTCCTATGCAGAAAGAACCACCTTTCTGCAAAGCAGCATCAGATTCCAAAACTGAGATTTTGACTCCTATTTTTAAGTTTTTACCTGTTTTTTTTTCCTCCTCAACTGAAAAAAAAATGAAAAAATCCTCACGCCACAAATCTTGTTATTCCTCTCAAATTACTCGACTTGGGAAAAGGATCTAACATAAAAACAAAGGGGAGAGCAGTTTGAAACGTGTGCATTTAATGCACTTAGCCACAGCACTAAAACCCAATGCAGCGAATCCGAGCAACTGGACTTATCATGGAGAAGGGAAATGGTTTCTGTTTTGTGTTGAGCAAAGGACAAATCTGGACAAGGCAAAATAGTATAATTTAAGATTAAGCTTAGAAGATTATATGATTAAACGTCCCAAAGGGAATAAAATATATTATGGATGTGCTAAAGCCAGCAAAACCATCAGACATTTAGTATTTTGGAGGGTTAAAAACCCAAGGACTTAAAAGCTTGGGAAGCTTTGGGGGATGCATCGTAAACAGCAGTTTTGCAGATGATATCTCAAGTATTTGCTCCTTGTGTTGTTCCCTAAACACAGTGTAAAAATGATGGAAAGCCTAAAAGCAGGGAAAAAACATAAGTTTCCATAGTAATATGTAAATACACAAGATGAAACAATCAGGGTGCGTTGCCACCAAGTCCTGCAGTTTGGTGCAACCCTCAGCTCTGCTTTCCGATTTCCAAGGCGCCTCCCATCCTGTCTGCACCTCATGGAAGAGCCGGCATTCCCGGGAACACGTCCCACATGCCGGCGTCTTCGATCCGGTGCTCCCATGGCAGCACGGGGCTGTTGGAAGCTCTGAGAAGGCGAAAGTGAAAGTGCCTCCTGTGGAAGCAAAAGTGAAAGTGGCCGCTTCCCTGCGCAGCCTGGACCTTCACAGCCGCCCGGGCCGGCGGGTGGCACTGGAGCAGACCTGGAGGCACCAGCTTGGATCATGGGAAGCTAAGGTAGGTGCTCCAAAGTCCTCCGGGAGGGAATGAAGAGTCAAGTGATTTTCTGCTGTGATAGCAAAGGAGAAATCCCTGCAGCTACTGATCTGCAAAGCAGGTTGAGCTCAGCGGCTGGGCAAAACCCAGTGGGCTTCTTGGACGGCTGCTCTCCTCCTCTGGGGCTCTTCTAGGTGACACAAAGCCAGGTCCTTCAACCCTTCCTCCTTCAGCTCATCCATCTTCACGCAACCTCCAGGTTGCCCCACCACACAGGGGCTTCCAAAGCCAACCTGGGACCTCGGACTCATTCATCTTCACACAACCTCTGGGTTGTGCCCTCACACAGGGACTTCCAAAGCCAACCTGGGTTCTTTGGCCCATCCATCTTCATGTAATCTCCAAGTTGCCCCACCACGTAGGCACTTCCCAAGCCAATCCAGGGCCTCGGGATCATCCATCTTCACGCACCTTCTGGTGGCCCCACCACATGGAGGCTTCCCAAACCAACCCAGGAGCACAAGTGGCCACTGGTGCAAACAAGGGAATGGGATTTGTTTTCCCTTTTTTTCCTCATCTTAAAATGTATCTAGTGCTTCGTCAATGATGTCAAATCCCCCAAAGTTTGGGGGACGCAGCCATTCCACTCACCTCCTGGCTTCCGACCTGACCTTGGTGCAGTTGCTCTCACGGGGTCTCTTCCCACAGCCCTTCTCCTTCTTGTCTCCCTTTGACCAGGAGTTCTTCAGAGTTTTAGCTTGGTTCTATCTTTGGTACGTGCTGTACCAGCAGGTACCACGAGCACCACATGCAGCTTGGGACCAGGAATAGTTCATCTACTGCAAGCTGACACCTTAGACCACCCTTCCAATAAATGTCATACCACTTTTTCTGGCTCTGCCATCCAGCTTTCACTGTTTTCACTCTTTACTAACCCAACTTCACTTTTGAGTCATCTCAAGCACGCAGTAGTTGTGGCAATTCTGTGAACCACCTTGCTTAACTTTGCATGATAAAACAGGGGCCATTACACACCTCGTTAGTGCTGAAGTGCTTTTCCCTACAAGTCACTTTGCTCTTCCCGCTCAAGCCGAGATGGGCGCTCACGGTAGCAGACGCACCATTTTTCTTGGATTTTAGTGTGGGTTCTTCAAAGCCCGTGGGACAGCGAAAAAAAAAAGATCTTAGACTTAATCTGGGTCAATGGTGGACCATATTTGGAGATATATGGGGCAAGTCTGACAGCAAACGCAAGGGGAAGTAGCTGCCCACAGGGGATGGAAGAGGTGGCACTGCATGCACCAAGGCCATCTGGGTCGAGGCAGTCAGGGCACTATTAATAAGCAGCGTTTCCTGAAGGTCTCACCATGGGATGATGCAGATGGATTTAAAAATCAACTAGGAAGAGCCTTGTGTGACTGCCTTGTATGTAGGCTTTTCCATAGCCACCTGCTCCTGGATTCAGGAAACTGGCCAAGAAGGACCTTGGGTCTGAGTTGGGACAAGCCATTAAACGAGCACAAGGTTTTAGCCCTAGGTCAACTTGCACAGGGTCAGGTCCGCACCAGATACCTGGCATGGGTTGCCATATCGGAGCAACCACATTTGGAAGCATCTCCTTCTCTTCCACATGGGATAAAGTCAATTATCCTGCAACTGCTATGGGTCTCCAGCAAATAAATCACGATAGATATTTGTGAACTACCTCTTCGCAATGGATGTTTCCTCATGCTCTCAGGAAGAGTGTGGTCAGTCTGTGTGAGGAAGAAGAGGCTGGAGAGATGAAACTGAAAGCCACAACTCCTTGGAGGGTATCACAAAGTCAATGGAGCTACTATGACAGTGACATTCAGCAAAACAAGGGCAACACTGTGGGCTGCTGCTTGGCAGGTTCAGACTAGGCAGATTTTTCCCTAGGAAGGTCATGCAGCCTTGGGACAGGCCACATAGAGGTGCAGGTCTCCATTCTTGGCTGGCCAGAACTTGTCTAGCAGTGGTGAAAATCCCCTGGGAGGAGAAGTCCTGTTCCGGACAACTCTTCCAGCCACCATCTCTGATTTTATCACCTCTTCTGTCACCTTCGGCTGCGCAAATCTTTGCAGATTTGGGGTTCCCTTTGCTTATTCATTGCACAAGACGTCGCCGCTGCCTTTCGTCTCACCAGATGCTCTTCAAACCACTTTTCCCAAACACAAGGCGAAGGATGGGGCAAAGCTAAAAACCCAACACTAATGAATTTGTCTTTCTTAACTTACATTTCACGGTTGTCTTAAATGCAACCCACAGACTCTATGTTGAAAACCACAGACAGGGACCTACTACGCAGCACCTAAAGAGAAAATCCACCACGAGCCAGAGCTTACCCACTGTTCCACAGCATTCCATCCCCACGGTACCGAACCTGCAAATCCACGCTGGGAAAGCCCTGGATCCAATGTGCCCGCAGTGCAAAACTCACCACACACACACTGCTGCAACACCTGAACACTTCCCAGCACACGAGTAGCTTTGCGAGAGCAACAGTGACGTTCCACAAGTTAAAAACAACCTTCTCGACACGGAGCCCTCCCACGGATTTTCCATTTGGGGAAGAGAAAAAAAAAATTGGCTGTGGCTGGAGAAATTGGGTGTATGTTTATCTGACCTGCAAAGAGCTCAAAAACAGCAGCCATGCTCATCCAGATCCCCACGTACCTTCTCTTCTTGAACAAACTGAAAACCTTACTAGTGTTCCTCTAGGTTCATTTTGTGGCGTTCATGACTTCTGCTCTCATTACAGATGTTCTCATTTTAGTCTTGCCTCCCTTTCCCCCAGTTTTTTGTTCTGCTTGATGCCACAGTGCCCAGACCCTTGAGCTACGGAAATTACCTACAGCACCCAGCTGCATTGAGAGGTCCATGTAAAAACTGAAGGCAGAAAACACCCAAATTCCCCATGCGAACGCACAAACTAAACTGAGCACCCCCCCAAAACCAAAAGACAATGATTTGACCCTCAACAGGCCCACCAAAACCAAAAGGCAATGATTTGACCCTCAACATGAGAGCCAAACAGTGTCAAATCAGCGTTTGCCAAAAACATAAAAGCAACCCCACGAATGTTTCACTTTCTTCTCCCAAATCTGTGCAAACGATTTCGGGAAGCGCCCACACCGGTGTTTTGTGCAATAATTTAGCGGAGCGGTTTCACCAAAGCTTCGTGTCCCGTCAGTGTTTCTCCTTGAGCATCGCTGGCCCTCGGTGATGGACCAAACCGCCAAAACCACAGCAGGGGAAAAAAAAAAAGGGGGGGGAAAAAGAGAGATAAAAGAGGTTATTTTTAATCCGGGAATGCTCAGCAGGTTTTTTGGATGCAACCAGCTGCGTTGTGGACACTCCGAGCCTGGCGGGACGCTGAGTTGGGCACTGAGGGAAACACTGAGGGGCAAAACACGGAGTTTGGGTCAAGTTTAACAGCCGGATTTGGCTGAATTGGGTGCAAGACCAGCAGTAGGGCCGGGGTGACCATCTCCAGCCCTACGGAAGGCCTTTCACCTCTGCTGACAGCAGTTTTGGGGACAAGATGATTTTCCGCTTGGAAAATGGTGATTTCTGTGAGGCCAACGCACCGCATTTAAAGCGAATTCTCCATTTTCCTCCCAGCAAAGCTCCCGGACGCGGATCCCTGCTTCGAGACGCACCTGCCCACCCGTCACGCCAGCCAACGCGGCGCCCCGGCGCCGTGAAGCCAAATCCCAATGCAAAACCCCATGGATTTAGCCCCAAAAGCCAGGCAGAAGCGAGATGGTTAGCGGTTGGCTCTCGCTCGCGGCAACCCGGCGGCTCCGTCCCCGATTCCCCTTTCGCGGAGGGGCTTCGGTTAGCGCGGCTCCCTCTGCGTGCCCTCCGGGGGCGAAAATGGGGGGAAACCCAGCGGTTTTGGTGCTGCTTGTCCCCCCCCACCCCGGGTCAACGCAGCCGCCTCGGGCCGCCGTGTCCCCCGCGCCGGCCGCGCTCACCCGTCCCGCCGGCGGCGGCCGCCCCGTCCCGCCGCTCGCCCATGTCCCTCGGCTCCGCTCCGCGGCTGCGGG